GCCCCCCCCCAAACGTTTCTCTCCAATGTCCCCTTCCTCCCTCTTCCTCCGTACAGGCCAGGAAAAACTATCCTCACGCCCCCCATGTCTCGATCCAGCAGGTTTCCCTTGATGTCTCGAACGGCGATGAAAGCGTCCTGCTTCCCGGTCATTGTGACGTGATCGTGACATGCCAGTCACGAACCTGCATGTCCTCCCTATCTGTCACAGTCGTGTAGCCGTTGCCAGACAACTGATACATGAACCGCCAGCTGCGGCAACCTAAACCCTCAACCTACGAGGTGACGCCACCTGACCTGTCAGCAGGCTCGAGCGTCTTCAAGAGATCGGCCAGCGCAACTCCTTGAACTTCAGTCCTCAGAGTTGATGCCAGCAGAGCCTTCCAAGAGCATCATCAGCGGCGGCGGCACAGCATCCAGCCATCACATGGTGCCAAACGAGCTCATATCGCCTCAGCCCCAGGCGCTCGATTTGCGAGAGACGTAAAGTTTGCAGGACAAGACCGTTGCAGCATATTCTGAGCCGCCACAAACCTCCTGCCCTCCTTGAATCCGAATGAGCGAAGCATGTGCTGTCAGAGCAAGGCTGCAGACCTCCAAGGATCGAGCCAGCTTGGAGGAGGAAGCACCTCAATATCAAGTGCATCCATCTTGCACGAAGATCATCCGCTCATCGATCGTGGTTGGTGACGATGCTAGAGTTCTCATGAGCTGTTCACAGAGAGCATCTTCCCCCCTCCACCTATCTGTCCTGCCCTTTCCTCCTGCCCTCTCCAGTTCCGCCCCCCTGGCTTGCTGTCGTTTGCTGAAACTTCTCCCTACTCTACCCGGCTCTCCTCTGTTCCTATCCTATCCCCTCCCCTGGTCTTCCAGCTGTTCTCTCTGCTCTGCTCTGCTCTGCTCTGCTCTGCTCTGCTCTGCTCTTTTTCGTGAAAACCTCAACAAAGTCCTGGTCCGCCTCATCATGATCAAGGGCAGCAAATGTCGGATAGTATTTGATCTGGCACAAATATTTGATGTCTTTCATGGTGTCGGTTACCTCCAAGCTTTTAACCGTTACTAAAATTCCGTTACATTTCAGTTGCATGAAATTTGAGACTTTGTCCGTTACTAGCAATTCAATGACCACCCCACCCGTCACCTGGCCAGTCTTTTACTTCGACTACCCCCTTTATCCCTTCATTTTTCTATCAGACACATGGTGGTAATTGTAGACCACCCCCGCCATGTATTTCGAAACCACCAGCTTGCCAATCCGTTGAAAGCCGACCCTGATGGCCAAGTTCGTGACCAGGTGCGAAGTGCGCGAGACGAGGGGGGAGGATTGCGATGAGAGAGAAGATGAGAATGAGATAGGAAGAGTTGAGCACAAACAGACACATGTTCATATACCAACTCTGAGCATCAAAGCTGTAGAACATCAAGGTACATGAATTTCAGATGGTGCCGATTGTTGAGTCCTGAGTGGTGCAATGGAGAACCTTCTTCTGCTCATGTTGCATTGAAGTCTGTCATTCATGACAACGAACTCAATGCATTACAAGTGCTTGGCTCTGACAGTCATCTAACAACTGTTTCAGTCTCAACATAAGTCTTCCGGGCAGCCGGTTCTCTGTCCTTGATACAGCGAAAGTTGCATCGCTTCTTGTCAAACCAACGGTTGTCCGGCCAGCGTTCGCTCAAGGAAAACTCGAAGGAGAGGCAACAGAATCGCACAAGGAGGCAGTGGACGCACTTCTGTTTCTCTCATCGAGCAGATCAACAGGAATGAAGATGGAGATAGCATCTGACATAAACGAAAGTCGAAAAAGAAAAAGTGCACAAGACATGTCTATTCAGGCCCAGCCAAACTGCAATCTTGCTTTGGATGCAGCAAGGGGAGGCAAGAAAGCGAAAACCTTGGAGCAAGAGTTTGTCTTGACTTCCCAATCACCAACGATTCCAAGGGGGAGCTATAAGTGCAGTCGTTGTGGCAAGCCGAAGAAAGGTCACAGATGTAATCTTCCCGACAGTGAAAAACATACTGTCTTCAAGCAAGCTCAACAACCCAGCAAATGGGCAAAAGAAACTCAAAAAGCATCGGTAGCCGTCTTACCTGCGCACTCATTCGCGCAGGCACCCGGTATGTCACAGGTAGCAGCTAAGTTTTCTGCTTGCGGCAAGCTGCAGAATGTCGATCCTAATCTATGTGTGCCGGACGAGTCCTTGACTTGCAAGAAACCCTCCAAGGTGACGTTGATGAGCCTCCACAAGCTAAGACTAACTTGAGTGAAACAGACCGGCCCTTTCTCATCGCAGGTAGCGTGTGCTCTATTTCTAGCAGGATGTAGCTCGATCTCCGCAAGGAACTCCCAGTTCAAGTGAGCAAACCAACAAAGAAATAAACACTTTTCAACTCTCATAAGATTGCCATTGCACAACATTTACATCTGCTCGGGATTTGAGCCTTCTGAGATTTCATACTTATTACAGTACTTCCGAGTCTTTGAATTTCTTTCGCAAGCATATGAGCTTCGGCATTCCATCATTCCACAAAACTTTATCGTCCTCTCCTACCATTTCCTGCACCCAGAAAAATCTCCCTGTCACAGCCAATCAGAGAAAAACAAATGGAAATCAAGTTGCAGAAAGGCACCTGCCAATTCTAAGAATTCACGCTCTCTCTCCACATTGCGGACGATCCATGCAAAATATATCCTCGTGCCCTCGTCGCTCGTGCTGATTAATGCATCTATCAGCGGCATCCGGGTATCTTGTACAAGTAAGTCCCATCCCCCCCAGTATAACAGGTCTGAACACAATATCATATCGTATGGAGGTGCGAGGCTGCCAAAGAAAAGATCAGAAGCATGTCTTTGCCTATTTTCTACTCACCCACTCACGTCCCTTCCCCAAGCAAATGGAACAGTGCGAGGACGATTACAAGCAGCGAACAAGTGACTGTTCAACTCCACATTCTGGTCAATCAACACAATGGTGTACGGCATGTCGGTCATCGTCACGCATCCTCCTTGTGCCGCCACTGCCATCCCCAGTAGGCCAGTCCCTGACCCCAGCTCGAGCACGCGCTTCCCCCGGAAGCCGTCGAGACCCACGAGAGTCTGGAGCTGCTGGGCGAGGAAGGAGGAGGCCGGCCAGACGCGAGCTGAGGTGGGATCCTCTCTTCGCACGTGCCTGTCCTGCTCTCTCAGCTTCATCCTCGTTCCCCACACTTCATGGTCTTGCTCCCTTTCGCCATGGCCCATTGACCGTTATGCAGGTAACGATATGTGTGGTCATAGCGGGGATGAAGTCTCCACGGTATGTCAAAGGAGTTGACCTGCAACCAGGGGAATGAGACGAGGAGGCGGAGAGAAGAGGAGAGAGAAGAGAAGAAGAGAGAAGAGAGAAGAGAGAGAGAGAGAGAGAGAGAGAGAGAGAGAGAGAGAGAGAGAGAGAGAGAGAGAGAGAGAGAGAGAGAGAGAAGAGAGAAGAGAGAAGAAGAGAAGAAGAGAGAAGAGAGAAGAGAGCAGAGAAGAAGAGAGAAGAGAGAAGAGAGAAGAGAGAAGAGAGAGGAGAGAAGAGAGAAGAGAGAAGAGAAGAAGAGAGAAGAGAGAAGAGAGAGGAGAGAAGAGAAGAAGAGAAGAAGAGAGAAGAGAGAAGAGAGAAGGAGGTCAATACGGAGAGGAGGAGAGGAACAAGAAGGAGATGAAGGGAGTGGACGAGAGCGCTGGAATTCTGCGATTGATCATGGGGGTCGGAAGGAAGAGGCTGGCAAACGGACGTTGACTCACGAGTACAGACAAGTGACTTGTAATAGCAGGCAGCAATTGGCCAAAAAGGTCATTGAGGACCTCAACGATTTGATAGCAGAAGGAATCAGGACGAACAAAAAGGGCTGGGCGGAAGAAATTTAAACTTCTGAGGTACAAAGCGTTTGAGGATCCGAACTGAATTTTGTCGCTCTGCCGGGCCAGTTTGAAGGCTCGTCAGTGCACAACAGTTGCTTTCCTTCACTAGAATTGCAGAAGACACGTCACTAGCTGAGTCAAACCAGCTTGTTTTTGCTGGTCCAGCGAAAATCGAAACAGAGACCGACATGAATCGAAACACAAGCCAAGAAATCCGAGATGACTTGATTTACGACTCGGATGAAGATATGGAGTCTGACCAACAGAGCCAGGCACCAAGATGGAGCCGGAGAGGCAGCTTCAGCATGAAGGGCAGCTTCATGAACGAGTCAATGCCCACGGACGACATAATCTTAAGCGGCACCCTAGACAAGAAGACGAGCAGGTGAAGCATATGTGCCATATCACACAAGCTGCTGATGACAGCAGACGGCTGACTTGTTTGCGCCTGCTTTCTCTCACGTACTTGTTTGCAGTTCTTCCAACTCGTGGGACCCCAAGTATGCTGTTCTCACCAGTACAGACTTGTACTTTGCGAACCCTGACTTGCAGCACTTGGTCACGGACAAAATCCCACTACATGAGATTGTCAGCGTCGGTCGGTTCCGAGACCTGGAGAACATCACGAAAGGTCCTGACAACAACAAGCGACGATCAGTGCGAAAATCGAAGCGAAGAGGATCAAACGCGTCAGAGAGAACCCACTTGACTTTCGTCATTCAAACTGATGAGATGGGAATAAACAACGGAAGGTGACATTGTGAACAACGATTCCTGCGGTGATACTGTTGGATGGCAGGACTTACATCTTTCAAGCAAATGACGAGGATGAATATGAGACCTGGTTTCGTACACTGACCAAAACATACAAGGCCGCAATTAAAAGGCATAAGAGTGATGTTGAACGACAAGACATCGCGGGAAGTTCGACCCGATGGTTGCAAATCAACTCGCTCAAACTCTATAAGAACAAGATTTATATCTATGTGTGCTCTACTGTCATTCTGTTGGCCTACATTTTGGATTTATACGAAGCAGAAGACAATTTCAGGTCGAGCTCGTCAAAGAGTAAAACCACACGACTCATAAGCGCAGGGATCTTGAGAGCTGTGAACATTGCTTGCAGTCTCTTTTTCATGTTTGAATTTTTCATCCTAATTGCTGCTCACTTCAACGATTGGAGGCGAAAATTCGTGATACACAGTGAGATTTGTATCCGCATTTGATTTTCCTTGCTTTGACATCAACGTTTTAAGTTTGGAACTCCATGGACGCGTTAGTGATCGTCTTGTCAGTATTTGCGAATCTCTTTCAGATCACTGTGAGGTTGAGGGTCAACAAGCTCGTCGCTGAGATTCGTCACAGATGCTGAGGCCCATTCGCATCCTTCGCATCCTCCGAGTTCTCGGTCGTCTGCGATCGTTCAGGAGGATCCTCTGGGGTCTGATGAAGGCCATGCGGCCCGTCGTGTCTGCTCTCGGGCTGCTCATGGTGGTGACCTGCTGCTATGCTGTCCTCGCAACCAACCTCTACGGGTGAGAAGGGAAGCAGGCCTAGTCGCGGCGTCACTCTGTTTCAGGACTTCTAAGAAAGAATTCTTCGGGAGCATGAGCGCTTCTGTCTTCACCATGTTTCAGATCGCTACTGTGAGCTGCTTCCTTCCCGCTCCTCCTTCCGCTCACAGACCGTAGGGAGACTCATGGGCGTCCTACGTCGCTAGGCCGACTTACATGGCAGAGAAAGGAGGCTTTGATCGAGGCGTCGCCCTCTTCTTCTCCTCCTACGTCCTCGTGGTGTGCACCATGCTCGAATACAAGTGCTGCTTTGCTTACCGGATTCTGTAGACGAGCGTCATCCTGGTCAACGTCGTCGTTGCTGTTCTCCTCGACGAGCTGATTCAGACCATCACGGCAGAGAAGCAAGCAGCTGTGCGAGCGGCGCTGACGTGAGACTGAGCTGATGCCTGACCTGCAGAAAGAAAAGTCGGACGAGGAGCTGCAGAGGAAGCGACAGGCAGCGCGAGCGACGGGGTCACTGGACGCCGTGATCGAGTCCTTGTCAAAGTTCAACGACAAAGAAGATCTGCTCCATCGCATCGACGAGCTCTTCCAGGTGCGTCGCTACTTTGATATGTCAGCCTGGGCTCAGATGGGCCCCTGCAGAAGTTGGACATCGAGAAGTCAGGGTACCTGACGATGGAGTCAATGAACGAGGCGTTTGATCTGCTCCCTCTCCCAACTCGAGTCCAGCTGGCACAGGACGACTTCTCGCTGTAAGTTTCAACGGTCGTTTGTCTGTTTGTGACCTGCACTTGCAGCATCACGCAGGAAGGAGTTCTGTGCAACGAGGTGAGGGAGAAGCCGACGAGAGAGACAGAGAGGGGGGAAAGGCGACAAGGGGAGGGAGAGGAGGAGGAGGAGGAGGAGGAGGAGGAGGAGGAGGGGATTAGCGTAGGCGTTGCTCTCTACAGTGACGTGGGGGCAGGATGGTGAGATCGACAGGGAGCAGTTCGCTGTGATCATGGTCAAAGAGCTTCAATGCTACAATCAGCGAGAGACTCTCAACTCCATGGGGGAGGCAAGAAGAGATGTTCTCCTCTTGCATGGCTGACACGAGCATGGCAGGGCGACGACGTACAGAGAAGCATGTTCCTGACGATGAAGCTGCTCTTCCTCGAGTTCGAGAGCATGCAGGAGGAGGAGGTAGTCCCCGAAGAGCTTGAAGAGGACGTGGCGAGAATCAACGAGAGGATCGCAACCCTCTCTAAGATGCTCAAATCCCTCACCCAGCAGGTCAGCCGGAATGTGCGCGAAGGGTCAGCGCGCGGGGAGGACGCGGAAAAGGGCAATGGGCATGGGGGAGGAAGGAGCGAGAAGAAGATGAACAAGCAGAAGATGAACATGCTCTATGAGAAGCAGTTTGAAACCGAGAAGAAGAAACCGCAGCAGGAAGAGACGGCTCGAGACAAGGGGAGGAGGGAGAGGACGGAGGAGCCGAGGCAAGGGAATTCAAAAGTTCAAGCGAGGAGGAGGAGCGAACCTCCGAGAGGCCAGCGGAGGAACGAGCAGATCAACAAGTTCCAGCAGCTCAAGAAGGCCATCGAGAATATCCGCAAGATCTCCCAGCAGGACGCTCAGCAGGAGATCTCGAGAGCCGTGGCGACTCTCAACCTTGAGCAGAGCGACTTGGTGCTTGTGAGCGGGTCCAACCAGACGACGCCGAGGGAGCAGTGCTTTCAGCTCGCGCAGGCTCTCAGCACCTCCTCCGCCATCCTCAAGTCCAACCGCCCCGCCAACCTCCCCGACCACCAGGAACGAAACCCGAGCCCCTAGGCTAGGAGGCAGCCCTGAGGAGAGGTGGTAGGAGTCCTTGTAGCCCCTAGCTCTTTCACGGACTCCAGACGTGATCCAAGGAGACGAAGAGAGGAAGCGCCTGCTGCTGGGCTGCGATCAGCTCGAAGACTCGCTTGCTGTACCCGCTCGAAAACGTGCCCACGAACGCCGCGCTCCTTGCGAGGAGGAGGAGGTTGACAAGCGACACGCGGTTCTCTGAAGAAGCGTTAAGGATGCCTAGAGAGATGGCATGCGGGATGGAGATTCGGTAGCCTGGCCTGCTGCTGTTGGTGTAGTGGAAACGCAAGTCAGTCTTGACGTTCTCAAGCTCCTCAATCACTTCCTCGTCCTCCGTGCACACCAGCACATCTCGCACGCTCGTCCTGTCAGCCAGCATGGAAGCGAAGCGAAGATACTCCCCCAGAGGCTGCGATGAAGTCTCGACCCACTTGTGTCCACGTCGGATGTGAAGGCCCAGGAAGAGAGCAGGGATTTTCATCGATTCCTGTTCCTCCCGCATCATTCTCTCCAGCCGGTTGCTGGGGCGGAGGAGGAAGGCGGTGAGAGCTGCATACCACTCGAGGATCGCGAGCTCTGCTTGCTCGGGCTGCAGCAACGCCGGGAGTCTCGTCCGGTACCGAGGGAGTTCCGAGTCATCGAGCACGAGCACCACGCGCTGAGCAGACGAGTCCTCTGAGAGGAGAGGAAGGTTATGAGCCTCCTGCCTGGAAGGAGCCCGGCAAGAGGAGAGAGGAAGGAAGTAGGTCGACATGAAGCCCGAGGCGCACTCGCTGCTCTTACATCCGTCGGAGAAGGGCCATGCGGCGCTCTCATCCACCACCAGCGTCCTCCTCGTGATGATCGCAGCGTTGAGCGCGACGCTGAGGTGGCCGAACATGGAGCCATGCCCCGAGAGCTCCGCGTTAACATACCGGAAGAGAAGGAGGCGAGCAGAGCTGCAGTCTGGAGGGAACTGATTCACCCGAATCTTCTCCAGCAGCTCCCCGACTGTCCAGCGGGAGGCGAAAGGGACAGGAGAACCCAAGTTAGACCGAGCAGGAAGAGGAAGCTGGAAGGAGATGCGCCTGAAGAACATCCTGGGGTTGGTGCCAAACCTTGCAACCTCCGGTACGCAGCGAACAAACACGCGCTTGAGAACGATACCAAGGTCTGACGCCGGCGTAGAGGAAGGGATGCGGAGGAGACACCCTGCTGCAGCTCCTTTTAATGAGCTCTGCGACAGCTGGAAGATGTCAGACTGCAGGCACCACCGAGACTGTGACGGCACAGCGAGCACATGGACAGGAGGAGGGAGGTAGTAGAACTCGTCTGCCTCGAGGCCGGAGGGACTGGCGGAATGTCTGCCCACATGAAAGAAGACACACCCTCCTCTCTCCTCATACGACGTCAACACCCGCTGTATCACTGCCGCGCTCATCGGCTCGACCACCACAGCCTGAGCGTCATAGTCGCAATGGAAAACAAGCGAAAACGAAACGACTTGTAGCATCCCCCGCAACCCTGCATGCGCTCCCAGCAGCTCTCGGGGAGACAGGGAGAGAAGCAAGAGGGCAGGCGTCGTCGATGTTTCTGCCTCGTAGCTTGGCAGCAGAGCATCGAGCGGTGTGGGCAGGTGATTCTCTCCGCAAGCATGACCAACGTAGCCAGCAAAACACGGAGGCGCTCGTCCCGACACCTGTCTCAATTCAATCAGCACGGGTCGGCGTGAGAGGGATGAAGGACATTCTCAAACTTCTGCTCCTGCGGCATCACGACACAAGTCCTCAGCACATGCACGTTCCTCCAGTTGCCATTCAGCTGCAGCGACTTGCGTAGCCTGTCCGGGCTGGCGTCGACTACCATCACCCGACCCTTCAGACCAACAGCCTTGGAGGCATGGAGAACGACATCGGGGCATGGAATGCCTGAAGCATGTGAGTCCAGAGGATACGACAACGAGGAGGAGGCTCACCCACGACGACGACATGATCCCCATCAGCGAGGAGGGACGACAGGAGGACTTTGAGGTCCGGAAGAGCTTCGCCATAGGCGCCAAGGGCTCTACCGCAAGGGCAGTCTGTGAGGTTGTAGGCAAGCTTGTCATGGGCGAGCTTGTTGTCTGTCTGCAGCAGGCGCTTCCTCTCTCCCTTCCTCCTCTCCTCGCACTGCATCGCCACCACCATCGTCAACAGCATCAACCATGGTCGCATCCGGTGTAACTAAACCGCTCAGATCTAAACCGAATTGATGTGATTATGGTCACCCATCATATGCGGCTAACACTTTGTCATCAAGTAAAAAGGAGGAATGACCACATGGAGGCTGAGGGGGGTGGGTACTTGAAGCCAGAGGTGGTCGAGGGGTGGGTATGCGAACCTAGGGGTGGTTGAACCTAAGGGGGTACTGGTCGGGTCTCAAAATTTCCATAGGGCAATAGTTTTTCAAAATTTAATATTCAAATCTTTGATGAGGGATTCAACGTATCAGGATATTTCCCTGAAGTTTTGAAAATGCTTTTCACATTTTAGATACGGCTGCTCCGTTCCATTTTCAGTACTCTGAGGCCTGTTTCCGTACCTACCCCTTGGAATCACCCTACCCCACACCTGTACCTGTTCCATTGACCTTCTGACCACCTCCACCTCAATCAAAGTACCCCTTCTTTCATGTGACCCCCAGACACAGGTATTCGTATACCCCATCATCTTAGTACCCCACCCCAGTCATAAGTTTATAATGACCCGCCTTCACACCCCACCCCTCCCATGACCCCACCATGTCTATTCAGACACGCCTCGGTGCTGCTGGTTGAGAGAAGGAAATGAATGCAGGCACGATAGAGCATGCCACCAAGCGCTTTCCTTCTCCTCCCCGCCTCTGCCTCGTTCATGGCTTCTCTTCCGCTTCTCTTCCGCTTCTCTTCCGCTTCTCCTCGTTCATGGCTTCTCTTCCGCTTCTCTTCCGCTTCTCTTCCGCTTCTCCTTCAAGCTCCGTGGAAATCTCATGCCCCACCGTTAGCACATGATCAGCTAGGCGATCTTCTTGTGCTGAAATCAGCTGAATCCAACTCATCTTAAATCCTGACATGAGACACACGTTGTGCCCCCCCCTCCTCCACAGATTGTTTGTTGTTACATGTAAACTCTGCATCTGACTGTATTACCCCACGATTTTCTCTAATCGTGTTTTCAGGGATAATCCGGAGTTCAGTTCTTGTTGATGATTGAATGAGACCCGTCTCGTTGCCAAAGAGAACTGGAGAACACTGTTGACGCTTTTCAGTATCGACATTATCAGCTCAGCCTCGCAAGGTGGTTGCGACCTCTTACATCCACCTTGCTCGGAGCTTGTTGAGAGATGGCAACCGTGATGTTGATCAATCGACGAGCAAAGGAGGAATCAACGGTTGGTGACGATGAGGAGGAAATGGAAGGAGATGCTACATTGTTCTCTCTCGAGTCGCTGAGAGAGCTTGCGACCAAGGATCTCAAGAGGAGACAATGGAAGCCTACATGGGGCAAACTCCCCCCAAAGAGAGATCGTGTGCTCGAAGCGAATCTGGACAAACAAACCATCGACATGACGTGGAACACCAGGTATGTTGTGCTGACGGCACAACATGTCTTCTTTGCTGGCAGCAGCAAGTCCGACATCACCGACATGATCCCCTTACACGAGATCACGAGCGTGCAGCGGCAAGAGCTGGACGCGCTCTTCTACGACAACAGAGGCTTGAAGTTGCATCAGATCAGCAGCATCCGCGAGATGGAACAGGAGAAGGTGCCGGAGGAAGAGCGCGCGCCTCGAGTTTCCGAGAGGATCTTTGAGATCCAGACCGTGCACGATGGGTTCAATAGTGGGAGGGCCTACACTCTGCGAGCAAGCGAACGAGAGGAATGTGAGCTATGGATTGAGCAGATTGAGAGGCTGCGAAAGGAGGAGATTGAGAGACAGAATCGTATCAACTCCTCCTTCTTCACTTTGGCGAAAGTTTACTCGAAAGTTCTATATGACATCCCTTTCTTTCAATTCTTCGTCGCTTTTCTCATCTTCTGCAACTTCATTATCAACATCATCAACTTTGAGATCCTTCCGGAGAACGGAAGCTATGCTGCTCACATCTTTGATGCTTTCGAGCTCTTTTTTCTCATCATCTTCACCTGTGAGCTCCTTCTCAACATGACGGCTCACTGGTTCAAGGAGTTCATCACTGACTCATGGAATGTAAGCTTTCATCTGATGTCATGGTCTTGTCTGCCATAGCTCAGCTACCACGTTCTCAGGTCTTTGACTTCACCGTCGTCATGATCTCTCTCATCTCTCTTGGCATCGAGAACCTGCCGGGAGTCAGTTTGCTGCGTCTTGTCAGGACCTTCCGGGTTCTCTTCATTTCCTCCTTTTCTCTGCTTCCTCTGTATCTCCTCCCTCCTCCCCCCTCTCCCCTCCCTCCCCTCCTCCTCCCCCCGCCCCCCCCCCCCTCTCCCTCCTCCCTCCCTCATCCGTCCTACGTCCTCTGCCCCCTCCCTTCTCCCTTCTCCGTCATTCCCTTCTCTCACTCGCGTTGGGCTTGTCGGATTGACCTGCTGCTTTACAGGTCGTCCGTCTCTTCAAGCGCCTCCAGTCCCTCCGCGTCATCATTCAGTCGCTTCTCTCCGCCATCATCCCTGTGGCCAACGCGTTCGGCGTGCTCCTCCTCGTGTCCTCGCTCTTCTCGGTACCGGGCGAGGGAGCGGGAGAGGAGGAGGAGGGGCAAGGAGGAGCGTGGCGGTGGAGGGCGACGAGTGTTGAGCGATGCATGCAGGTGATGGCGGTGATCATCTTCGGGGATTCTGACAAGGAGCTTTTCGGGTCGTTCTCGCTCGCTCTCTTCACGGTATGACGTGGCTGTCGATGTGGTTGCGAGTGACACCGGGAGGAAGATGTTTCAAATCTCAACAGGCGATGGCTGGGTGACAGACGTTGTTCGCCCCATGAACACAGGGCATCTGTCCCATGACTTCGGGGTTTGTCACCTTCTTGGTTCTCCACCCGTGGCCGCTGACCTTGCTTGAAAGATCAACTTCTTCTTTATCTCTTACTTCCTGATCACCAATATCGTCATGTTGAATATCGTCGTTGCTGTTCTGCTCGATGAGGTGAGAAGGCGATCTCTGCTTCTCATCACGGTTTGCTGATCTTGTAACAGTTTGTGAATACGCAAGAGCAAATGAAGAAGGAGAAGCAGGACGTTGAAATCGCACGGGTGAGTGACATCAGTGTAAAAGGAGAAGGAAATGCAGAGAAGGAGAGGAGAGGAGCAGGAGGAGAAGGAATTGCAGTGAAGGAGAGGAGAGGAGCAGGAGGAGAGGAGGAAGGCGAAGAAGGGAAGGAGGGAATGTGAAGAAGGAAATGAGTAAGAGGAGCAGAGGAAGCACCAGGGACGAGGGAAGAAGGGAGGGGGAACATGACTTGAATGCAGCAACTCAAGATGAGCAAGGATGGACCTCTCGACCCTCTTCTGCGAGAGCTCGCGAGCTTCAAGTCTGTGCAGGATCTGCACGCTAGGATCCACTCCATCTACGAGGTGAGAAGGATGACAGAGGGGAAGAGGATGGGGGGAGGAAAAGGATATAAGAGGGGTCGAGCATGAGGACGACTGAGGGAGGAAGCAGAAACTTGACATAGACGGCAACGGGCGCATCTCCTTCCAGGAGATGAGCGAAGGGCTCAGAAAGTTGTGGCTCCATCACACCGCTAAAGAGGTTTTGACGAATACCGCTGCTGCTGCTGCTGCCGCTGCTGCTTCTGCCGCCGCTGCTGCCGCTGCTGCTTCTGCCGCTGCTGCTGCCGCTGCTGCTTCTGCCGCTGCTGCTGCCGCTGCTGCTGCCGCTGCCGCTGCCGCTGCCGCTGCCGCTGCCGCTGCCGCTGCCGCTGCCGCTGCCGCTGCCGCTGCCGCTGCCGCTGCCGCTGCCGCTGCCGCTGCCGCTGCCGCTGCCGCTGCCGCTGCCGCTGCCGCTGCCGCTGCCGCTGCCGCTGCCGCTGCCGCTGCCGCCACCACCACCGCTGCTGCTCTGCTTTTGCTCTTTCTGCATGTTTCAGATGTCGTCGTTACGATATTGCAGATCTACTTGTCTCCCGATGACTTCAACTTGATCTGCATGGGCCCGCACGGGAAATTCAGCAACGACGAGGGCGAACTTGGGTGAGAGCACAAGGGACTAGGCGAGAGCTGAGTAGCTTCTTGACTTCAGGTATGAGGATTTCCATCATATGATATGGCACCAGCTCCTCCTTTTTGCACAGGTAAGCCTTCTATCCCTACCTCCCTGTGCTGTCCTGTGCTGTTCCCTTATCTCTTCTTCTCGCTACTTTCTCTCTTCATCTGCTTGCTTAGCACATTCTTTACAGCGGCAGCTCGCTGCTGGCATCCTGAAGGACGCAGAGAATCATCACGGCGCAGGTTTCGCTTCCATGCTGGGCTTGAAGGTGAGAGGAAGCGAGCCAGAGGGGAGGGAGTTATGGAGGGAGGGAGGGAGGGAGGAGAGGGAGAGGGAGGGAGGGAGGGGCAAACGTTGACAAGAGTTGCAGCTGATGATGCTGATGAATCATCCGGACCTGCTCAAGGTCAGGAGGAAGCCGGACTCTCGTTTCCCAGACAAGCTCACAGCCAACGGACTGGCTGCTGATCACCAAACCAGCCAGTCCCTCGAGGAGGAGGAAGACCATCCTAATGCAGCTTCGTCAGAGCCATCGCCTGTCAAGGAGGAGGAGGAGGAGGAGGAGGAGGAGGAGGAGGAGAGGAGGGGAGGGGAGGAGCTTCGCCCTGGCGGTTCAGAGGTGGAGCAGTTGAGAAGTCAAGTGAAAGAGCTCACCAGCCGCTTCGACGAGCTGCAGCAGAGAATTGATCGAGTGAACGAGCATGCAGAGGACGTGAAAGATCTTCATGCCAAGGTCCCTCCTCCTCCATCCTGCCCCTTCTCCTGCTCCTACTCCCGATTGCCCCGCTCCTCCTGCCTCTACTGCTCCTGCTCCTACCTCCTCCTCCTCCTTCTGCCCCTCTTCCTTCTGCCCCTTCTCCTTCTGTCCTTCCTTGTGCTGCTGCTGCTGCTGCTGCTGCTGCTGCTTCCCCGGCTCACTTGTGCTGGCTCCAGATGGATCTTCTCCTGAACATCTTCGGCGTCAAGGGGAAGGTGAGCAAGGAGCAGCTGCGATGTGTCAGTGAGCATGAGGGCAGGGGAGCTGGAAGGAGGAGGCTCGCAGTCAGCACCCAGAAGGGGAGGAGCCTGTGGACACAACAACCAAGGTGCCGCATGATACTTGAGAGGAGGGGGAGGGGGAGGGGGAGGGGGAGGAGGGGGAGGGGGAGGAGGCTGACTGGGCCGGTAGAAAAACTTCATCTTCCCGGAAGGAGGGCAAACACGCTCGGAAGCAAAGAAGCATGAGGAAACAATTTCAGAGGAGGGGGAGGCAGGACGAGAAGGGTTGGAGACGTCAGCGATAAGGTCTGCTGCTGCTGCTGCTCCTCCTCCTCCTCCTCCTCCTGAGAATCTCTGTCTCAACTTTCTCTTCCTTGCCTCCTCTTGACTCTGACTTCTCCTTCTCTTCCTCTGCAGCTTCCTTCCCAACTGGATGCAGGACCTGACGGCTCAGCTTCGAATCGGACCGGACGAGGAGAGATCAACCTTCCGCAAGCGCCAGGGCAGCTTCACGCACAGATGACTAGAGCAAGAGAGGGGGAGGGAGTAGGACGATGGAGATCAATAATAACGATGAAGATGATGACGAGGAGGACGAGCAGGTGGATGAGATTTAAACATCTACAGGAACTTGTTGAGAAGCCAAGCAGCCCATTCGGATCGATCGCGTTCCCATCCTTCCTCCCTGCAGCCATCATCTCGTCACTTCCCCTGCATTCCTCATGCTTCACATGCCTCAGCTTGTTCATCTCCTCCAGCGCCTTTTGCGCCTTCTCCACGTCCCCCCCCAGCATCTCCAGCACAAGTTCAACATCTACATCCTCTGTTAGATCCTCTTCCTCCTCTAGACCCTCCCTCTCCTCCCTCCTCCCTCCCCCCTTCCTCCTCCTCCTCACCCTTCACAGCGTGACCGCGGTCGGTAAGCTCTTGGATGAACATCGCCTTCATGGCAGGGGAGCCCTGCCACGACCGCACGGGGCTCAGAGGCTCTTCCCCTCCTCCTCCTGCATCTGACGCGACGATCGTTGTGCTCTGCAGTTGCTCGTGTCAGCAACATGGAGGAGCTTTAAACCCGCCGCTCGCGGCTCCTCACCTCAGGTGGTACAAGAGGAGGAGGAGGAGGAGGAGGAGGAGTGCCGCCTCCCCGCACTCCCTCAGCAGCTTGCGACGCGTGTGAAGTCTGTAGGGCTACTGAGTCTGCCGGTAAAGTCGCCTGCTTCAACGTCAGGGCGCGGGAGGCAAAGCTTGAAAACCAAGGCTAAGAAGAGGACGGAACAGAAGAAAGGTGACAAAAATTGAAGAGAGGAGGAGGAGGAGGAGGAGGTGGTGGTGGTGGTGGTGGAGGAGGAGGAGGAGAGGGAGAGCATACCTGTGGGCCTGCAGCAATAGTGAAGTCAAAGATGGGGACTTGATCTTCCTCCCTCTGCCAATTTTGTCACCATGACATGCCAATAACGGGAGGGAAAGCCGAAATGAAGGAAGAAAGGTTTGGCGGATTAGGTGAGAAGCAGAGGAAGGAAGAAGGTGGGAGGAGGAGTTGAATACATCACTCAGAGATTCTTTGACGGGAAATGTAGGTTGAATGTTGTCTCGTTCAAGCTGCTCCTGTTCTCTCTTCGCTTGCTCCCTCCTCTGCTCCTCCTTGTGCTGCTCCTCCCTCCGCTGCTCTTCAACTCGTCGCAGGTGCTCCTTCACCAGCTTCTGCTGCCTCTCTCGCTCCGCGTCGAGGTCTCTGGACCTGTTGATCACACTCTCCTCTGCCTCGGACAGGATGGAGCTCTCGATCCTCAGGTCAAGCTTGGGGGCTGCCGAGGACAATACCAGCACGTCCGCATCGATCACCTTGAGCTGCTCCACCAGCACCTGCAGCTCTTGGCGGCGCTGGGAGGAGGAGGCAGCCGGCACGATCTCGATCCGGTCGAGCGCAGGATACTTGAGCCTCCTCGTCGTGCCCCCTGGTCGGTTCATCGCGTTGGCTGCCCGCGCAGCGTCCGGCTGATTCACCGCTACATGCGCATGCGCCGCCTGGATGGCAGGGGGTTGAGGTTGAGCGACGGGGGGCCGGTATGGAGGAGGAGGAGGGCGATAGTTGGCCGTGTTGTTGACGGCAACAGGAGGGTTCGGCTGATTTCTCTGCCCGTCACTTTGTCTTCTTCCACCGAAGATCCAGGCCATGGTAAGGAGGGCGGGGGAACCAGGGCGACAGGAGCGGACGGGGCAGAAGACTTGAAGAAGTTGCAGTCAGATCAATCAACGCTGAGATATGAATAAGTCCTGCTTCCACCTTCTTTCACCCCCCCCCTCTCCCTTCTTCTGCTTCCACCTTCCTTCCCCCCCCCTCTCCCTTCTTCTGCTTCCACCTTCCTTCACCCCCCCTCTCCCTTCTTCTGCTTCCACCTTCCTTCACCCCCCTCTCCCTTCTTCTGCTTCCACCTTCCTTCACCCCCCCTCTCCCTTCTTCTGCTTCCACCTTCCTTCACCCCCCCTCTCCCTTCTTCTGCTTCCACCTTCCTTCACCCCCCCTCTCCCTTCTTCTGCTTCCACCTTCCTTCACCCCCCCCCCCTCCCTTCTTCTGCTTCTGTCTCTCGCTGCCCTCCTGCTCTACTTCCTCTTTTCAACTACCAACCTCCTCCTTCCTAAATTCGCTACTTGCCGATGCCTTCCCTAGCCTTCACTTCACTCGCGCACAACAACACAAACGGCCTCATCTCGCACCATAACCTGCCCCTCTCCTCAAACTTCATGCATCCCTAAACAGACATTAAAAACTCTCTTCTCTCTATCTCTCTTGGGTCCTTCAATGCTCTGTAAACCCTTTCCTCCCCTCTCGTCAAATTCTCTGTCTGACTTCTGTTCACCTTGCTGGTCTCAGAAGTGTTGACATCTGAACTCCTCTTCCTCTCTCCTTCCTTCTCCTCTGCTTTTCGTCTTACTCTTCATGGATATGCCTCAAATCATCCTTCTCTAGTGTCTTTGTGTCCTGTCATCTGCCTCCTCTGCTCTGCTCTGCTCTGCTCTTGACCTCTCCTCCTGTATCTGCTCTTGACCTCTCCTCCTGTATCTGCTCTTGACCTCTCCTCCTGTATCTGCTCTTGACCTCTCCTCTTGTCTCACCGTGTCTCTGCTCTGCTCTGCTCTGCTCTGCTCTGCTCTGCTCTGCTCTGCTCTGTCCCAAGGCAGCACGTACTAGGCTACAGCGCAGCCAAACATCACCGGATTGATTCGATTTGACCAGGTGAATAAATCGATCCAAAAAAAATCGCAGAGATGAGGCCGGGACAAGGTAACGAGGAAGTGAAGAAATCAGGAGGAGGAAGAGGAAGAGGAAGAGGAAGAGGAAGAGGAAGAGGAAGAGGAGGTGGAGGTGGAGGTGGAGGTGGAGGGGAAGGTAGAGGAGCTAGGGAGAGAAGAGGGTCGGCGGTAGAAGTTCGATGAAGCACCACATTAAGGATCGCGGGGTAAGGAGGAGGACGAAAGGGAAGGCTGAGATCGAACCACGACAAGATGATCAGTGGAGTAGAGCTGTGACAGCGGGGCAAGACAAGAATCAACAACAGCAACAACAGCATCGTCACCAACATCTTCACGCTCTGTTTGTGTTTGCCCTGGTCGTCTTGTTCTGGGGATGTATTTTTGATCTCTTGGAGTCCAACGTCACTCTACAGTTCATCTCCTTGTGGTCCCGCTCAGTATGTGGCGACATGGACTGCGAGTATCAGCCGAGCATCGCAAGGATGTTGACTGGCCTTGTCTTCGTTCTTCTCTCGTCGAGCATGCTGCTCGCCATGGGCTCCTCAGCCTTTTTTAACGCCCTGGGCTCAGACGACGCGGGCGAGCTGAAGCCTCCAGGACTCTCACTGACCGACAACTTGCTGGGGATCAAGCTCGAGGTTCCCGTCCTTCACAGGCGTGTCTACGTGGGTCGCTTACTCTACTTCTTGCTCTACGGGTTCCTGTGCGTGCTGGTCTGGAAAGGATTCGAGCACGTGTGGGATGGGCTGAGGGATCTGCTCACCATCAGTCTCGCCGTCTCCAAGCAGCTCGTGATCGCCTTCCTTTTTCTGTGCTCTACAACAACACTTGTGATGATCGGGGAGATGTCAAATCAGTTCGCAGCGACTGAAGCTCAAAGAGACAAGTTGGTGATGGTGAAGGACGACAAGACAAGGGAATAAAGCATCTGGTGCGATTTCCTTCCAAGAGGTTTACTCCTGAAAGCTTTTGTTTTGGAGAAAAAAAAATCTTGAAGACAGTCTCACACGTAACCCTGCGCAAGATTCTCGTTAAATTCAGCAGCACTGACTATCGCAATACCATCTTGCTAAAATTCCACGAAACTCTTCCAACCTCCTCGACGGCTGGGAATGCAGTTCTTCCCTGGCATGAGACATTCAGATGAAATCTTAGCCCATCTCTCCTCCCCTCCCCATCCTCGCCTCTCTCGCCCTCCTCGCCTGTCTCCCCATACCGGTTTCTTGTACTTCTCGAGCAGATGGCCGTTGGGCCCGACGATGAACCTGGTGGAGGTCCCGTGAGGTTCAGCCTGTCGCTTCACATCCCCTCACTTTGGTCGTCCGTTATCGTAGGAGGGGCGAGGAAACGGGGAGGCGGGGAAGCCGCGCTTGGTCTATCCAGGCATCATCAGCCAGAAGGTACCGACTGGCGGGGAGGAGGAGCTACCTCGGGGGGGGTTCTTGGGATTCGATGGTTCTGAAGGCGTTTGGGAAGGTATGCAATGCTGCCGGCTCAAGTGAGTGGAAGAGGACGGAGCAGAGGGGAACCTTGTCTGCGTTATCCAATGGTTGCTTCTCGAGCTAGCAAGGGGGGGCCCAGTGATCTGTGAGCGTGTTGACAGAGTCTGCAGCAATGCCGTCACCACATGGAGGACGAGCAAGAGAAGGAGACATCAGGTCGAGGGGTGAATGGCGTGTACGGGTCGATAAAGTAGCTCTTTCCTCTTGCAAGGCCTGCTAGCGATGATGGCGCTGCCCCGACAAAGCCTAGTGTCCTCGTTGACATGATCGCATCCTTTCCTCCCGCCAGCGGAGACATGTTTCCTTCATACACATCATCCTTCTGATTCCTCTCACCTGATGCCGACAGGTGATCCACTTCTTGCTCCTAGAATGAGCTAAATCAACATCTACACAGACGTTCGCAGCCCACAGTGCTCGGACAACATTCACGTTATCATGTCAAGTCATGGCAAATCATCACGATGTTCAAGGCACATCAGCGCAATAGGCAGCATGCATGGCATGTTTCTGGTCTCCCAGCCCCACCATGCACCCGCGTCCGCTCTCCATCGCCTACCTGACGAACGTCTTCCACCATCGCTGTGCTATGACTACTCGCAAACAGTGAGGGTATTTGCCCCAGACATTTCTCAGCCAAACGCCCACCCTATACTCTCGAATGATGGTACTATATTTCAATCAAAATATTTTTGTATTTATAATTTAGTTACATTTTAGATATTTTCTACGACCCCGGTTTCTGTTGAGAACAGTTGGAACTTCGACAAATATAACTGAAATTAACTGAAATTAATAGAATAGCTAACTCAGGATTTTAATTTAATTAGCTATTCGAGATAAACTGAATAGAGACGTTCAAAAATGCTTTCTACACGCCTTTTTAAAATGGAGGAGGGGAGGGGAGGGGAGAGGAGAGGGCATCGAGGAGAGGAGAGAGGCAGAGTGAGAGATCAGACAACGACATTCACCTGCCAGTACTCAACTGTGTTGCCGCGATCAGAGTCAAGCATGATGCTATTAGTGAAAACCATTCGATTCGATTTCAGTTCTCCTCGATGGATAGAACCCCCGTTGATCTGAATGCTACGATAGTTGAGTGTCAAAGTATGGACACAAGAGGCGAGGCAAGGGAAGGAGTTGTCCATGAGATGTGTGTTTCTCCCGCTGCTTCACGTAACCTGCTGTGGTGCAGTATTGATGCATCCAGTACTTGACCCATCCTTCGAGTTCGAAGCTCCCAAGGTCTCATTCCCGTGCATGCGCCTGCTCTGACTTCTCTTCCTCCAAGTTCATCGACTTGTTCCAGGAAAGCGGTCAAACCTGGTCTCAGGACCATGATGACCCGTGGTTCCACCAGGTGCCTCCCCCCCCCCCACCCCTCCCCGCCTCCAACCCCCCAAAACACTCTCCCTCTCCCTCTCCCTCTTCGCGGTCTGGTCTTCTCACTTGGCTTGCCAACTTTAGCATCATCCTCTCCATGAGTTCGACTCATCAAACGAGCATGGAGAGTCGGAGGACGAGAAGCACGAGCAGGAGCAGGAGCAGGAGCAGGAGCAGGAGCAGGAGCAGGAGCAGGAGCAGGAGCAGGAGCAGGAGCAGGAGCAGGAGCAGGAGCAGGAGCAGGAGCAGGAGCAGGGTCGTTGTCAAGGAGATCTTCATAGACATTCTCGCGGGTGTTTGAGGTCTTCACAGACCGGATCTTCTTCCGACCGACTCGCGTCAACAGACCCGACGGGCTTGGAGGTGACAGCAAGTGATGGCGTCTCGCAAGCCTCTGAACATGCAGCGAGCGGGCGGCTGTCTCCCTCCTCCTCCTCTCCCTGCAGCTCTTCCCCATCCAGCAGCTCGTCACTCAAATTTTCGAGGTCGAAGCTCAAGGGAGGAGCTCAAAGGATCCACCACGACCAGGCTGCCAGCCTAGGCTCCCCTGCTCCTCATCGTTCCTCTCCCCCACAGGCGGCGAGCGTGTCGGGCTGCCAGCAGGCAGGAGGGGACGGGGAGCTGGTGCGCGCGTGGCTGCAAGAGCTTGGGCTGTCCGGCTGCGTCCGCGTGTTTGAGGAGCAGAAGGTGGACTGCGAGGCGATCAGCCTCCTCGACGACTCCTCCCTCGCCCTCCTCGGCGTCGTCGCTCTTGGAGATCGAGTGAAGCTGCGGCAGCGAGCGCAGGCACGATTGCTCGCGAGCCGTCCGAAAGCGAAACAGGAGAGTGAGGCACAGGAGGAGGGAAGAGAGCACACAAAGAAGGAGGAGGAGGAGAAGGGGGAGGAAGAGAAGGAGAAGGAGAATGAGAAGCAGGAGGCAGAACAGCAGCTGCAGGTCAAGGTCTCCCCGAGAAACTTCGCAGCGAGCAGGAGGAAGGCAGTGACGGGAGTCGGACGCGTGCTGACAAAGAAGGACATGAACATTGTGACGAGCACCAAAGAAGGGAAAGACAAGTCAAGCTGCAGGAAGAAGAAAGAGGGAGAAGCTCCCGCTCTCTCCTCCTCTACCACCTCCTCCTCCTCGTCCGCTCTCGCTGCTCCCTCTTCGGCAAAAGGTCACAAGTCGATCGAAGATCTTCTCCGTGAACACAACAAGCAATTCAAACCGAAAGCTGTCTACGAGCCCATGAAGGTGAAGAAAACCATCAAGATAGAGATCATGAAGATGCTGCTGGTGATGATGATGATGGGTTTTGATGACTGTTGGTGTTGTCCCTGCTTGCAGGTTTCCCACCTTCAAGTTTGCTAACAGCATGTGCAGCATAGCGTAAGAGACATCCGGTGGTGGGAGCAGGAGAACGGCAAGAGATGGTACGAGATGACGGCAGAGGAGAGGGAGAGAGCGAACGAGGACATAGCAAGGCACAAACAGAGAGGGAGGTGAGGAGAGGAAAATAGTTGTAGATGAGGATGGGAGAAGTTCACAGCTCTAGTGATCCTTTCTCTTCTTCTTGTTAATTCTGAGAAAATCTGAAACATATCAATGCTATCAGTCGAACCCTTCCACATGAAACTTTGATAGGTCTTTCACCCTCCCTCCCTCCCTCCCTCCCCTCTCCTTCACGCTAGCCCGTACTGCCACCCGGCGTCCATCATCGTGTTCTGCATCGCGAGTCTGGACTGGATGACCTCGAGGCAGACGTCAGCTGAAGTCTCCACTCCTCCGTTGCGCCTCCAGGGCCCGATGTCTCCCTCCTGCACTGACGCCAGGCTGACAGTCTGCAGAGGAAGAGTGAACAACAGGCCAGAGAGAGAGAGGGGGGGGGGGGGGAGGGAGAGAGGGAGAGGAAAGGGAGAGGGAGAGATGGAGTTTAGTGTGGGGGGGGGGGGGG